ATATATATATATATATAAATTTGATTCAAAATGTTACATTGTTATGTAAATAAATTTCACTTTGTTAATTTTATTCCCCAGATGATAACATTATACCACTTTACATTATTTTATATATATATATATATATATATATATATATATATAAATGTGTGTGTGTGTATGTTGATAAAATCAAAAGAAGACTCCCAAATGTTATCAGTCTTAAACTGACATTGACTTCAGTCTATTTCCCACAGCTTCCCATTTTCTATAGTTTCATTGGTAATTGAGGAGCTTTCTTCTTTGTTACTATGACTTTATAAATTTAAGCACAGTACTAGATTGGTAGCTAGCTCTAATTTTTTTTCACAGTTGTAATTGATAGATGTAACTTCAAGTTTCTTCTGTCACACTTCTTGCGTGTGGAACTCTCTTCCAACCTCTTACTTGCTTCGATCAAAAACTTAAATGCAATGTCAATCAATGCAATGTTTTTCTTTTTCTCATATTCTTTCATACTCAGTAACGTCTTGCATCCTAGTTGCTTTACAGGCTTGGGATGAAATGATTAATATATATATATATATATAATAATGGACTCTCCCATCGGTTTTGACATATGAGGATCTGACAGCTTATTGATTCAGTTATGAAAGTTTATGCGATAATCTTAAGTGGCATTTAAGACAAAGGAGGCCACATATAAAGCAGGTGTGAGAATTGTGTGTGTGTGTGTGTGTGTGTGTATATATATATATATATATATATATATATATATAAACACAAACAAAAATATTCTGACAAGTTTCCAGCTCAACTCTTTTCTTAAAATCACTAAACATCAGAATTTTGAAGGGAATCTTCTGGTCAGGCCAAGAACTTTTCTGAATCCCCTCATATAACACAGTAAATATGAATTAAATAACAATGTTATATCATAATATGAATATTAACAATTTGAATCCAGTTTCATAAATTTATTTTTCAAGTTGAGAACATTGTATCCTTTCACATTTCTGTAATAATAAAATTAAAATACAATTTTAACATGTAAGAATATTTAAACTTCTTAACTGTAAACATAAATTTCTTTTAATAATTTAAAAACAAATCTTTGTGTAACATAAAAACAACCATTAATTCTTTTACTCATTACTGTTATCATGTAGTGAACATTGTAATGAATTCTTCTCCACATTAGTTACACACTTGTTTTTTTATGAATGTGTTTGTATCCAAGCCATGCTGTAACAGAAACTTCAGGTTATTTGAAATGTAACCCTGTATCTTCCATTATGCGTCAATCAACTGCCAACCATTTACACAACCTGACCTTCAGCCAAACAGAAGTAGCAGAAGGTGACATCACAGTAACAGTGGAAGAAGTCTCAACTATCAAACTCTTTTTGCATTATATAATAATATAAATTAAATAACATTAAAAAAAAATACACTGAAATAATATCTCTAATAAAAAATATTATTAAAAAAAAATCATACATTTATTAGTATTAGGTAAGTGTTGAAATTAAGCCATCACCAACAATTCCAAGGGTTACAATTAAAACAAACATTTAAAACAAGTTAGCATTACCAAACTAGGTGGGTAGAGAGAAAAAGGTCAGGGAGGGAAATAAAGGACAAGATATCAGATCTTATTGACATCTGGCAGTCAGATTTTCTCCAAGACTCTTGTTGCTACTTTTCTAATAAATCTTACTTTTTGAGATTGCTTGAACTTTTAAACAATACACTGTGCAAACAAACTGCGATATTTCTCCTACACTGACCTAATTCTGAAGGAAACATACAATTGACAGTAATAACATATTATTAAAATGTACCTATCTCTATCCCAGGGTGTCTATATTTATTCCTCTCAGTATGTCCATATCAATCTTTATCCCAGTATGCCTGTACCATGTTAGTTCCAGTCCAAAATGGGAATGTTACAAAACACATTCCCCTCCCCAATTTATAGGCAGAAACCAATAAAATAGGCCAGTTCTCCATTTCATATGATTCAGTCCCAGTCTGTCTTGTCTTGAAGTCAGAAATGCTATGTTTGCTTATCCGAATTCACTCTTGTGTGTCAATCCCAATTCTTAATTTGTGGACCTTTTAGCCATATTACTGTTGCTTTGCCTGTTAACTTGCCTTGCATATATTGTTTGCTTGCTTTATATTATTTATTTTTGTCCTGTTCTTTTTCTTGTTTTATTGCAAACTTTGTCAATTCTATTTGTTGGAAAGTTCTGCCATTTATTTACATTTAATCATGACCAGTCACTTTCCATACCAAAATCTATCTATCCTAGTATACCTCTACCAAAATTAATCTATCCAATTATATATCCCTACCCAAATCTATCTATCTCGGTATGCCTCTACCAAAATCTGCCTATCCCAGCATGCCTGTATCAAAATCTATGCATCCATCCCAGCATGCCTGTACCAAAATCTATGTATATATCCCAACATGCCTGTATCAAAATCTATGTATATATCCCAACATGCCTGTATCAAAATCTATGTATATATCCCAACATGCCTGTATCAAAATCTATGTATATATCCCAGCATGCCTGTTCCAAAATCTATGTATATATCCCAGCATGCCTGTTCCAAAATCTATGTATATATCCCAGCATGCCTGTTCCAAAATCTATGTATATATCCCAGCATGCCTGTTCCAAAATCTATGTATATATCCCAGCATGCCTGTACCAAAATCTATGTATCCATCGCAGCATGCCTGTACCAAAATCTATGTATATATCCCAGTATGCCTGTACCAAAATCTATGTATATATCCCAGCATGCCTGTTCCAAAATCTATGTATATATCCCAGCATGCCTGTACCAAAATCTATCCTAGTGTGCCTGTACCAAAATCTATCTATCCTGGTAGGCCTCTACCCAAATCTGCCTATCCCAGAATGCCTGTATCAAAACCTTTGTATCTATCCCAGTATGTCCATATCTGTCTGTTCATATCTAACATTTTTCAAAATTTTTATTTTTTATTTTTACTATTTACCAATGCTGCTACATCTATCTACTCACATATTTTACTCAAATAGGTATCATAACATCTTTTAAAATATTCATACTAGTATAATCAGGTTTGTGTTGAGTTTTAGCTTATGTGCCAATATCTAATCATTGAATTTTTCTTACACAACCCATCATTCTATTCTTGTTTTCCCAGCAATACTCATAATAATTTACATTTTTTTTTTTTTACTTAAGCTTTTATCTTTGTATTCACCTCTTCATTTATCATTAAAGAAATATTTTAATTTCTTTTTACCATTTAAATATATACATATTTACTTAATTCATCTCATCAAACTAACAATTTATATAGGATCTCGATTATTTAGCTCATATACATTTGTGGAAAGGGGACACATGTTTCTCACATTAATCAATTTTGAAACTTGTAACATTTCAATTTCTGTCTGTCTATTGATTTAGTTCAATGTTTATTTTTCATGATATGTATGTTTTCATAACCAAACAATCTATAATTGAACAGATTTCTTTTTCTTCTTTCTCCACCTGGCAGTTTTTATTGAAGGAACAGAGAAAGCAGCAAGTAACAGAAAATAGAGACATGCCAATTTGATTCCTCTTCATGGTCTGCAGACATGATGATGATAATGGTAACTCCAAGACCAAAATCTGTTACTTTATATTGTAATAAAGATAAATTGGATTACAAATAAAAAAAAAAGGAAGAATGCTGTTTTATCAAACCTAATGTTTTAAATATTCAAATTAAAACTCTCCAGATTATGATGGTGATGAAATCTGCAAGGATACTGAGGAAAATGCTGGATATTTAAGACTTTTTGCCTACTCAATCTCCAGTGACAAATATTAGATATGTGATTTTTTTTTCTTTTTACTTCAGTTCCCACAAGGTCCAAGAGCCACTCAAGGTAAAAGGTTATTGAGTGAGATTATTGTAACATAAGAGAGGTGGGGGGAAAAAAGTATCAATTTGGTTTTTATAGCTTATCAACCTTTTATGGGTTATTTTAAACCTAAACATTTCAAATTGTAAGAATTCTTATTTTTTACGAGTTAATATTGCATTAACAATTTTTAGAATAATTGTAGAGGAGAGATAGATTCATACTTTTCTCAAGGGTATTTGCATGAAAGTGAATGTAAAATATCAAACAGGAATGAGGAAGAGGAAGTAAGAAGTGCATATTATAAGGATATATATGATAAATATTAGTTGACTAAAGACTTGAAGTGGTTAAGATTGTAGTAGTCAGGGAAGCATACTCTTGAGAATCTGTTCCAAAAAGTAACAATTTTTAGGTTAGAAGCTGTCTGTGAGGAACTTACTCTTTAACAAAGGAATACAAAGGGAATAGGGATGATTTGACACTGTGAACATAACATGGCAGGTTCTAGCTATAAAGGTCTGAACTGGTGTAAATAATGAAAAATCTGAGAAAAAAATTGAAATCTTCCCATATGACAGTTTTACTGAACTTAGCTAAATTACTGAGGAAAGTTCTAGATAGGTATTGTCATTTGAATTGCAGTTTGAGCCACCAGTTATTAAAGATGTAAATGATCATCAGATTAATACTAATATACATATTTCTTAATTCTTTGGAATTATAGACCAAAAAAATCATGAATGTTTCTTGTTTGAATGTTAAAGATGAGGAATTATCATTATTATACACTGATTTTTTTCTGATCTTGTTAAATTTTGTACTGAAAATTTAACTCTCCTTAAGTCTATTTTAAAGATTCACACACTGAAACCAGTTATAAATGTACACTAGGTTAAAAGGTTGTCATAAAATAATATACTTTCAAACAATATTTTAGTAAAGATATTGCCATTCAATAAGATGTGACATTTTAAATAGTTAATTAAATTTTAAAAGATTGGGAGTATGGATTGGTTAAGGGTTTGGTAAGAAAAGACATATCAATGTTAAAAACAGAAAGCAATTACTATTTGGATATGACAAAATACTGACCAAATGCTGCTTCTTTCTTCGGATAACTGGTGGCTGTTAAAGTAACAAAAATTTATCAATAGATTTGCTCTAACAGTCAAGAAAAGGGATTTAAGAAAGTGTAATATTTAAAAAATATATTTTTTAAATACTAGCTGAAAGCCCACCAAGTAGGTGAGATTATAAGCTAATTCTTTTAAAAAGCCTAGATTTTAACCTTTTAGCTCTAATAAGAAATCAAATTTGAATCATGTATTTACTGAATCATACCATATTAGAAAACTATCATCACGAACTCTTGGATCACATTTAACCTGAGAAGGTTAAATGTGATCCAAGATTTCATGATGATAGTTTTCTATCACAAAAGATTTCAAGAATGAACATTTTTAAAAATGTAAATTTTTTTTTTTTACTGGATTTTTATTGCTGCAATAAAAAGACACAACATGAATAATGTTTCTTTGAGAATTCATAAAAAAAGTTGAGAAATGGTAACCATTGCTTATATGATGGTTGAGTCATAAATAATATCAACTTTTGTTTATCAATGATCCATTTTCTTCTTTTCCCTAAGAATGTGTGGAACCCAAAACACCCAGCTTGCTGATTTTTCCTATCTTTTCTAATGTGTCGGCACATGGTAGATTGTGATCTGTTTAACATCTTTGTTAATTCCCAAGTACTTTGCATGGATTGCATTACACTAATGACTTTAGAACTTCATCATCAATGTCCTGTGAATGCTTGGCTCATCTTTCAACAATGTTTCTCCAGAATGACATTTTGCAAAACAATTTCATACTTGCTGGTCAGTTATGACTCCTTGACCATAAACAGTACATATTTTTTACATGTTCCCACAGCATTATTCCTTTACTTGAACTCTCCCATAACATTGTTTCATAAATATGCATTTTCAATTCGTCCATTAGTTGGATTAAGGAGTGTGTAAATCACTCTTTGGAGTACTTTGTAACACATCTATTTATCATCTCTCAGTTGCGTCTCTGTGTTTGGGCAGAGTGCACACAGGGGCGACTCCTTCAAAGGAAAGAGTCACAACTGAGGAAAATTATACTGAGAGGTGCCCAGCCCTGGGAAACAGCTGTCCAAGACTGCACCCTCTCATTGCACCAGAGAGAGGGATCGGTGCTTGCACCGAGCCCAGCGCAACCAATGGTTGCGGGGGCTGTGAGCAATTTTTGTTCCTGGCCTGGGTGTACGCACTTGGGTCCCCACCTTAAAAAAAGACCTTGTGTCACAACTCATCTTAGTGGGGAAAGAGTAAATACCTAGTTGGATTAAGAAATGTGTTCTTTAATTCACTGTGTACATTGCCATTGATATGGAAAAAACTAAGGTATATAAGTGTACTCCAAATTTATTCTTAAGTGCCACATATGATTAGTAGTTAGTTTGATGCGCTTGTCATTAAACCTAGTTCTCAAAAATGGAAATTACTTATAACTCAACCTAGTATAATAAGATCTTAAAACATTTAGACTTTCATATGAATGCCATGCATAGTGTCAAAGTCATTTAGAAATATCTAAACTGTCAACTGTATACAACATTTTTCTCAGATCAATGGTTAAAAATGGCTTTGAGGGAAGCCTATAAGTCTTGGTAAAAAAATCATCCTTTGAACCTTGTGTATTGGTGCTACAGAATCACAAACAAAAAACTGTACCAAATAAACATTCCTTTCAACAACAGCAACAACTAAAATGAATATCACATGTAATCTAAAGAGAAAATAATGAAACAATCAAGATGTTGACATTCCACACAACTTCAAATAAAAGATTAAAGGAAACCTCCATCAATATTGAAAAGAGCAATAACAGCTACTGGACTTCAGAAACCTATTTTCCTAAAAAATTATTTTAAGAAAAATATTTTAGAAGTTTCTACTGAAAGTGGCACTGGCTGCTCAATCAATGAATGCAAAATGTGTCTTTATATGGAAACAGCTAATATTACTATTTATTCATGAAAATGTGTTATTTCCCCAGCATTGAAGACTATTTTTTTCTGAAATAAATAAGGAAACATAATATTACCATTACCAGTAGAAAGTTATCAATATGAGATTGAAATAATGAATTGAAAAGTTTAAAACTTGTTGTTGTGTCATAAATAGGAAATTTTGATACACATATAGAAAGTAAGAAACAGTTTATTCCAGAGAATAATATGGTACATGGTTGGGAACACAGACTAATGTAATCAACAGTTATCATTAACTCATTTCCTTCAGTAAGAGGGAGTGCTGTTTAAATAGTCTTAGACCAGTCCATCTTCTGGGGGTGTTCAGCTACTCTACAACACTTATTTAAAGAATTCTATTCTTTCTTATATAATATTTATGATTTAATCAATTTATATTTGCAATTTATAACCATCTGTGTTCTTTTTACATTATTTGTATATCTATGAACTTTTTATTCTTAGTTACTGTACTTCTTTTATGTACTGTCCGTTCAGGATATTAATGATCATAACCCTCCACATCTTCTTGTTCCTTTTGACTCCTAATATGTTTTATTTTTTGCTATTTCTCCCAAACCCTGTTCTTCCATCCATTTGCTCAAGGTCATCAAGTATGCTACATGCTGCTTTCCTGTTTGTTTTTCCCCCCTCAATCTGTCGTGTGAGTATCAGACATTCCAAGCTCTCCTTCCTCATTATGTGCCCCAGAAATTTCAACTGCCACTACCCGATGTTAAGTATGATTTTTCTTTTCTTTAAAAATGCAATTTTATGTTACCCTTTATTTTTAGATTTTTATATGCAAAGTCAAGTATCAAAAATGTAAAACAATCTTCAACTGGATATAAGTGAAATGATCAGTTTCCTCTTTTCATAATGCATCATCTGAGGATAATTTTAGAAGCCAGTGTGAATCACAGACTTTTTACTGCTGAATAAAAAAAAAAGAAAAAAAAAAAAAAAAGAGTCTCTGCCACAAGCATGTGTCCATCAGTTGCAGATTGCCCATTCAAGAGAAGTACCATATTTCCTAGCATCAAAGATGCCATTTTCATCCCCCAACCAACCCAAAAATAAGCTTCAAAAAGACAATCCTCCAGGTAGAAGGTTATTTAAATATTCTATTTAGTTTTCCTCCTAAATAAATATTGCAAATCAAAATTAAGGTGTATTAAAGAGGCTGGACCATCATTCTAAACAGGTTTGAGTCTACTCTGCTATTTCACCCATAGCTGGAGGGTGAAATTATGGATTCATGCCTTTCCCAAGGGTATTAATGCAAAGTGAACACCAGTCTCCACTGAAAATTGGATACATCCTGCCAATTACCTTGTCCATGATAATAATTATGTAAGCCAAACATCTGTACCTATCAAGTAGAAAGCTGATTATTTTTGCAATGCTTATCTTTTTACAGCAAGCAAGTAAGAAGAGTGGAATTTAAAGTTATCAAAAAATAAAAAAAATAAAAAAGCCAATTGTAAAATTAAGTAACTAGTACATTAAATACAATATGGATGAGTCAGCTCAATTGAAATGCCATTCTGTGATGAAGTTTGTAGCTTGACAGTTATTAACTAAATTTGATCTGAAATTTTTGTTGTATAATGTTCAATTTATGTGATCAATATTCACAAATGAATTAAAAGGGGTTGACTAGGGTGGAAAGCATGTTAAAAAAAAGATTACATATTTATTATACAAAATAAATGCTTTTTTCATCATTAGGCTATGGACTTATTGATGTATCTATATATCTGAGGGATAATTTTTCTATAATTTTTGTGTGCTATGTCAACCCATTATTAACTGCAATAAAATCCAGTATTAGTTATAAAGATTAAAATAAAAATCCAATAATAATTATAGGTTATTCTAGAAAAGAATCCTATATTAATTATAGTTTTCTAACTATAATCCATTAATGCACACCATCCCAAAGATGACACAGTAGGCAATAATGGGTTAACAGAGACTTCTAACATCTTTTCATCTGCAGTACATGAAACATAGCAGAATAATTATAATACAAATTCTGGAAATGTTATAAAGGCCATGAACTTAGAAAATTCATTTTTTATTGATTTTGTAACATTGCATAGAATGTTGAATCATGTTACTATTGTTGTTGAAACCGCAAATTGTATGATATGCCCTTCAGCCAAATACATCCTGAAAACTGATGAGAATTTTATTAAAAAAAAAAAAAAAAAAAAAAAAAAAAAAAATACCCCACTACAACCAAAAAACAAAACAAAAAAAAAAAACACTTTCACACAAACTTTTAGAACAATGTATTTCTCCACTATTTACAATGGTTAGGAAAATTAATCAATCATTGTATAACTTCCTAAAAGATTTAATATATCTTTTTCTTTTTCTTTAATTTAAGTTTCATTAATTTGTAATCTATTTTCCATAATTATTTTAGGCTCTCTGTCAAGGTTGACAATGAGGGAAACAATATTTTTTAAGCTATCACTGCCCATGCAGTAGTTACGGGAGAGTGATTTGCCCAATGGCTCACTCACCCACTCTACTCTCAACGATCATGACCATCACTGCTAAAGGCAAGAGAATTTTTTGTGTCAAGATATCAAATGATAAGACAGAGTGCAACAAAACTGAGTCATACTTTTCTCTGGAAAACCACAGAAACAGACTCATATTTGTTTCATGATATTCAAACTAGGTTTTGCCAATTCCATTTTATAACCAATAATCATTACACTGTAATGGTCTGAACAAATGTCATATAAATGCTATTTTTTTAGAGCACTCATTAAACAAACATTATTACCTATGGGATTTTAAGTGTTTGATATTCTTTAATTAATAATAATTTTGTTCTGTCTTTTGACATAGTGCTATCCATGGATCTATATCCTCCTGGAAATTCTATGCGGATTATGTCTATGTGTCTATGTGTGTGTATATATATATATATATATATATAATGCCATAAAAAGCAAGAAATTTTTTATTATAGGCCGTGATAGAAAATTTAAAATAAAAATAATAACAAATTTCTTGCTTTTTATGCCATAATACATTTTTGCACTGTTTCAAACATATATATAAATATGAGACATTTTATATATATATATATATATATATATATATATATATATATATATAGAGAGAGAGAGAGAGAATATTAGTGGTAAATATACACATACATATGCAAAATGTATATACATACATATATATTTTTTGAATAAAAAAATTTTCGAGAGGATAGAATCCAGGTAAAACTGAATGTCCAGGACAGAGTAAGGATATAATAAAAAGGCTTAAACACTAATATTCCATGGTCATAATTTATTCCATTGGAATCATAAATACGATCAATTCATCAGACCTACAAATTCAAAAATTTGAATTTGTAGGTCTGATGAATTGGATCGATTTATTCCAATGGAATAAATTATGACCATGGAATATTATGTTTAAGCTTTTTATATATATATATATATATATATATATATATATATAAAATAAAAAACTAAGAACATAAAAAATTAAATAAAATTTTAATTGCAGTACCTACCCATTCAGTCATCTTCAACAAAACACACACACACATATATATATATATATATATATATATATATATATATATATATATATATATATATATTATTTTATTTTGTGGAGTATAGTGCCAACTTTTTTCAAATTCAGCTGATAAAAGTGCTCAATAATAATAGTGTTTTAAAAATATACAAGTTTCAATGCTACTAAAGTTTCACTCCATTAAATTTATTTAATAAAAAAATTGCCATTGGCACAGCCTCCAGACAACTTCAGAATCTCCTGCAACTCTTCTGGACAGTCTCCTTGTTTAAGTCGGTGAATACTGCCGTAATCTTTGCCTTCAGTTCATCTTTGGTGTTACAAGGAGTTTTGTTGGTCTCTCACAACTGCACCCCATACATAATAATCAAGGGGGCTGTAGTCTGGGGAGTTAGATGGCCCGATGTAAGGAGTGATGTGGTCACAGAAATTGTCTGACAGCCATGACTGGGCTCTCCTGCTTGTGTGGCATAGTGCAGAGTCCTGTTGCCAAACATAGGGTCTTCCAGCAGCTACCCTCTTGATCTAGGGCAGTACAACCTCATCAAGACATGATGTAGGCCTCTGTGTTGAGTCTGAGGCCCTGTGGGAATATGAATGGAGGCATAAGATTGTCATCACTAGTGATCAATCCAAACACCATGATGTTGACTGGATATATCATTCAACTCTTTCCAAATACTCTGCACTGTCCTCAGATTGACATCCAAACACTCGGAAATGTTCATATTGGAGCTTCTGGTATGAATGCCAAGCAGTACAGCATGGCGTTTCCAAATTACTGGCAGAGTAAATTGCATCATGGTGCTCTTTTTCTCACAGATGGTGCCCAACTGACCTTACTATACTGTGCAGTTGACAAAATTGAAAACAAACAATGCACATGAGTGAAATTAAAAATATAAAATGGCGACATCGCACCCTGCATATATGAAAACTGATATATAGATATGCATACAGAAGACATTTTAAATTTTATATGTCTATATTTTTCTTAGCTTTTTATTGATGAATAATCACAATGGGTATTGTTATTTAAATTTTATCTGATAAAAATAACAGTTAAGAGTAAATTAATGTTGTGCCCAAATCCAAAATTATTTCTATAATTATCAGCAATTATGATTTTGTTAACCACAGTAAAATTCTACCAAATGGAGTTCTTGATCATGCAAACGCTTCCATTTTCTCTTTATATATATATATATATATATATATATATATATATGAATAACAAAACATGATGACAAGTGAATGTTTTTATTTGTATATTCACTTTTTCCCCTTCTTTCTTCTTTTAGTTTCTTCTACTGTTTGCAACTAATTGAGTTATTTTTCATCCAAATTTTTCAGATGAGAAATTATTATCATACACTGACTTATTTGAACTAGTGTAATTATTTTGGTTGCTATAGTCACAGCACTCCAGGCCATCATACGATTCACCTTTTTCAGGTGCCTGTCATATTGAATAATGTTGTGAAAATAGCTGGACGGTATAATAATCACTAGGTTTTATACACCACCAAATCTAACACACAATTACCAAGTAAAAATGAAAAATTCTAAGTATTAGACTTAACTATAAAATATGCCTTTTATTTTGATTTAAGTTTTACTTATGTCTCTCAGGTGCAAATTTGTATATCTTGGATTGTGAGGCAATAAAATATTTTTCAAATGGATTTCATTTCCAAATATTTTTCTTGATAATTTTGTACTGTAAAATAAATGAATATATAAAGATATATACCAGTTTTCTATTTGCTGAAAATGTCCAGACTAGACTTAAAAAAGAAAAAAAAGAAAAAAAAAGTACACCATTTCTCTCAAGAATAATATATCCCATTTAATATATCTCATATCTTATTCAAATTAATGGACCCCATGGATTAGTTTAAATTTTCCTGGTTTTTCCTGTTGATTGGTCACCTGAATATTAATGAATCAATACTTGACCAGCCTTAAAATATGTGATATTCAAAAACCTATGTTCAAACTGAAATATGTTCACCAAAACACTGACAAAGTATTTTTAATTATCTTAGTAGCAGACTCAACACAAAATTTGATGCAAGTCTATTTTAGGAAAACATTAATGGCTAAAAATAATGAATTCATGCAAAAATGCCACACTTGGAATAAGAGTAAAAATGGTAGAACTAGATTCTTAGCAACAAAACAGTTAATTTTTTTTTTTTAGACTCTAGTATTCTGATGTTCCAACCAACAAGATAACAATGACATCATAGAACTTAACAGATAGAAAGTAATATAATGAAATCTCTTCAATGCCGACTCGGAAACACGGAACGCTTTGACACCGACTCGGAAACACGGAACGCGTTGATGACAACTCGGAAACACGGAACGCGTTGACGACAACTCGGAAACACTGATCAATTTAACATTGATTTGACTTGATTACAACTGCTTGACTGAGAAGGGCTACTCAGTATTTCCTTGCATTAATAAGTTGATAATTTTTTTTTTTTTTTATGATCAACCAGGGTCTATTTTGGGGAATAGGCAAATATGAAAACCAGCATAGTCAACTTATAAACCTATTCCAAACCATAAGCTTTGGGGTGCAATACAGAATTACTTTTTTGTACCACTTCCAGGAAAATAATAATGTACCGCATTTCTTCAACTATGAAAATCTAAAAAAGCAGGGTTTAATATAACAAACCCATTCTTACTGAAAACCCTAAAAACAGAGTGCTTGCGACAAAATTTTGAATTCAAAAGTCTAACCTTTATCTGAAACTGAATATAGCCTTACAATCATTTTTTTTTCCACCTGTTGTCATAAAAGATATGGTAGATATATCATTGATTCAATAACAGAAATAGTTATTACTTACGTAATATCATTGGAGGCTTTCCAATTGATTCCTCGCTAGTCTCCCGTTCTTCAAGTAAAGGATCCAAAATGCACATTTCCCCCATGACTGGTCCTAGATCCACTTTATCCTTGTTATGCTTACGCATTACAATTTCATCAAATGCTACGCCAGTAACACCAGTACTGATCCGACCAGACAGGGAAGAGTTATCTCCCCCTGTAAAGGAACGGTCACTGCAGGTCGTATGAAGCTGAGAAATGTGACCATTACTAAGGGGTTCACTCTTTAAAACTTTATTCTCTGTGGAACTTTCATTCAACATAGTACTTTTACTGATCAGGGCCTCTTCAAGATTTGCTTTTAAGTTATTGCCACTCACATCAACATTGTCGATATTTGCCTCTTGGGATGTTGGTGGTGGTGGTGGTGGTGGTGGTGGTGAAGATGGGAGAGGCAAGGAAGAATCAGAATCGGTGCTCTCGTCACTGTTTGGGCTTTCTTCTTCGGCCCTTACAATCTCAGAATCAGCTTCTTCACTTAACGGTGTTTCTACAGCTGCAGTAACCTCATGGCTTTCCTCAGGAGAAACCTCCTGGCTAACGGGCATGGAAGTGTCCTCAGAAGGAGTACCTGTAGCTGCAGAATCAAGTACAGCTTCAAAATCATTAAGTTCATCTGTTTTAGATTCGTCTGTTGCTGTTGCAACCGTTTCTTGTGCAGTGACAAAAGAATTAGTATCAGTTGTTGTCAATGACAAGGACGGAAGAGGAAAAGAGAGTGATACATCTGGTTGGGAATAGTCAATAATTTCATCTTCCGATACTTCACTGTCCGAATCTCCAAGACCAACATTTTCATCGCAGCCATCAATGTTTTCTACTTCTAATTTCTGCTGATCTTCACTGGGAATTTCAGATTCTTCTTTGGCTTCAAACTCAGATCCAGATTCTTGCTTTAGTTCTGTTACTAATGCTAGTTCCTCTGAGTTAGCAACCTCTGTAATAACATCACTGCTTGGAATGGCTTCTTCAGTTTTTGAAGCATCATCTTGATTTTTGCCCATTTTGTTCTCTTCAAGGTCTTCCTCAAGAATCTCAAGTTTTTCATTCAACAGATGCTGAGTGTCTTTGTCATGTTCCTCAGTGATTTCTTCAATAACCTTCTCCCCACTGTCCTCAAACAAACTCTCAACATTGTCTTCTACTTCACAAGGAGATTCTTTGTCACCCACACACTCAATAACAGCAGCGTCTGTTGCTATGTCTGTAATAGTGTTACTGACAGCAGCATCATTTTCCTTGTCTGTTTTTATTTCATTTTCATCATTTGCAATGACAACTTCCTCTTCAGGTACCATTTCAGAATCGACTTTCTCCTCAACTGGAGTGCATTTCAGGCTGTCTGCTTCCTCGTTGCCAGTTATATCAAGTCCAGCATCATCATCTTGGGAAATATCTTCAGGTTGGTTCTCTTCTGATAACTTTATTTCAGTATTTTCACCTGGAAAAAAAAAAAAAAAAAAAAAAAAAACAAAAGAATAATTAGTTAAGGACATAATAGAAAAAAAAACAAGTTGATAACTCTGGTTTTTATATCAATTCTTGTATGAGATATGTGCAAAGTTCTCAGTACATTCTTTGAAAATTAGAGACTGGATATACAGTAGAAAACAGTTTAAGTTAAAAAATATTGGAAACAACTAAAAAATGGCTGTTTGTTTTATTCATATAACCGTCATTTGTTTCAAAAAAACAAAAAAAAAAAAAGAAGAAAAAAGAAGAAGAAAAAAGAAAAAAAAAAAAAAAAAAAGAGAGGAAAAAAAAAAAAAAAAAAGAGAGGAAAAAAAAAAAAAAAAGAGAGGAAAAAAAAGAAAAAAAAAGAAAAAAGTTAACAAAATATCTCTCATGTCTTGAAATATCTGATGGTCTAATATCTAATATATAATAAGATGCTACTAAACTACTAATGCTTGTAGCCAACCTATCATATTGTAAAACTAAATATAAATAATAATGATGATAATGAAAGGTTTATAACAATAATACTGATAGAGGTTTAATAATAATAATGATAATAATAATGATAGAGGTTTAATAATAATAATGATAGAGGTTTAATAATAATAATAATAATGATAGAGGTTTAATAATAATAATAATAATGATAGAGGTTTAATAATAATAATAATAATGATAGAGGTTTAATAATAATAATAATAATGATAGAGGTTTAATAATAATAATAATAATGATAATATAATAATAATGATAGAGGTATAATAATAATAATGATAATAATGAGAGGTTTAATAATAATGATAATAGAGGTTTAATAATAATGATAATGAGAAAGTTTTAATAATAATAATAATGAGGGAGTTTTAATAATAATAATAATAATAATAATGACAGAGGTTTTATAATAATAATGATGAGAGATGTCTTATATATCATCAAATAGAGCACATTTCATGCAATTAAAAGACCTTACTTCTTGATACATATTCTAACAGTACAACTTTGCCAATCTATATTATAGATGAGTTGATCTCTGTCCATCACAGTCTGTATGCAACTTTGTAGGTACCATGTAATGTATATGCGTGTCTGTGCTGTATATATGTGTGTTTGCCATTTAATGTATACAAGCACACACAAACACAATTCGACTAAGTTGAAATAAGACCTGGGAATAATACATTCCTTTCCCGCTCAGTCTGGACATCCCCTACTCTGAACTGAGCAATATAATCAAAGTTAGAGACAAAAAAAAAAAAAATTAAAATTTTAAACCTGAAAAAAAAAAGAAAAAAAGAAAAGAAAAATTACATGCTTTTATTAAACTTTTTGTAAATTATTTGGTAATAATGTGATACTTAACTTTAAATTTAAATTTCTGGTATTTGATCTATGTTTTTATGTTTTTCTTTATTGCTCTAGTTTTTAAACATCCCACATTGTAATATCAGTAGTTTTGTTAAGAAAGGTGAAATGCTGTATGAATCTGGATGTAAATTTTCTGTGAAAGAGATGTTAATCCCTACCTCAATATATCCCCGATTCCATTAATAAAATTTATTTCATCTGAAGAAGTCCTTTTAAAGGATGAAACACATCATATAAGACTTTTTTTCCATTTTCTTGTTCTATTACCTACATTGGTGAATGTGTAAACACTGCAATGTCCAAATGGTAATAGTGAAATTAACCATTTCCATCCAGGAAACATTCGGTATTTACTAACTGAACAGTTAGCATTAGTATCAGTTGGAATTTATAAAATTGTATTCTTGAAACAGTTTTTCAGGAAATAAAACTTCTCAAGTCCACTGTTATTGCTCTTTTAAGTACTGATTGGTACTTTCCTTCCAAACCTTTTATTTATTGTAGTTTGAAAAGTTAACATCCTGATTATATCATTATTTTTCTTCTAGTTATGCTACCAATTTTTATTATTGTTGGAAGTATTCAAGTGATGTGGTTTTTGGTATTTGGCAAAGCTCTTTGTGATTTTGTAGTGCCAATCTAAAAGGTCTGATAAAATACTATTTTTTTAAGTGCTAAATGATTCATTCTTGAAACAATTTTTAATCATTAATCTCAGGAAATGGTTATATACAGATGACAGTTTAGACATTTTATTGCTATGTATGAGAGTAAAAGTAGTAAATATTAATCATAAATATATCTTTATATTTCTTTTTTTTTTAATTAATTCACCCCAAGCAAGGCAATAAAGCCACTAAAGCACAAGGGGTTACTGAGTGTTTGTGAATATGGGGGGGGTATTAAAGAGAACAATAACAGAATAGGAATTAAGGCAAAAATGATTGATATTGCATTTAAATCAAAGTTGACTGAGAATCAAGAAGCCAAAAGATAGTTCCACAAATGAGAGGAAAGAAACTGTTAGCATAGAACTTATAGTTACATCTCACCATTTCAACTGTAAAATGATGAGACCTTGCCACTAATTTAATACTGCACTTAATTCATAGTCTAGGTACCATAGAGGAAAGTTCATCAGAACAATTACTATGAAAATATTTATAGAAAAGGCACAGGGAAGCTACATTATAGTGGCAGGAATGTAACTGAAGCCAAAATGCCAGGCCATTGCAGCTTCTTTTTCTTTTATCAAAAATCTATAAATAACACCAGACCCAATGTGGCAGCAATATCCAAAACTTGGGTGAATGGTAGACATTAATATGCAAGACGGATTCTGGTGAGAAAATTTGTCTAGCACTACAAAGTGAACCAACTTTTCTAGTAGCAGACCTAGCAATTGATTCAATATAACATTAGTCTGAGAAGGCGCAATGAGTCAAACTTCTTGCTTCATTTATGAAAATGAGGCCAGCTTTATCATCAAAAGCACAAGATAAAGCAAAGATTATTATGTTACCCATTACAAAGACAATAGTCCCATTAAACAGAGGCATCAGTATGCACTGCTAAAAGATTCACTAATATTAGTTTTATAAAAATGACAGAAGGATGATATGAACTATGAGTTATAATTTGTTGCATCTTATTCTCGCCATGTGTATCTCTTGTCACTGGGATTTAAAATAGTTTAAAACCTCTGCATTTTGTTGGATGATTTTATTTTGTCAAATCTATTTTTAACATGGTAGAGAATACCCTGGTAAAAACAAGATAATTCTATTTTAGCTCTGTTAAAAGATAAATTCAACATTAACAGAACCTTTTCCATGATAAATTTGTAAGGGAAACCAGAAACAAAAACAGATTTCCACATAGAAAATTCTAATTTTCTTTCAATTCTCTTTTCTAGATGTTCACATCAAGGGAGGTAACACTTCATCAGTATAATTTTTTTTCTTGCCTTAGTCTTTTGTTCTGTTTTCGTAAATGACACAACAAACAGCAAACTCTTGATTTAACAGACCCTGGCATTCGAGAGTGCAAACTTAACAGATGTCACAAAGTGGACCAGGTCAGAATTTAACAGAAGTCAGAAAATGGGACTAGGCTTAGTCTGAGCCAAATTTTGAAGGAGAAAGAAAAAAAAATGATATCTTGTTTTTATTTTCATTGTGAGAACATGGTTATTTGAGATAATCTTTTATAGTAGTGACTGAAATCTTAAGAACCACTGAACCATACTGTCAAAAAGAGCAGTATCAATTTTTTTTATTATAATTTACAGATCACAACAGCTATGTGATTAAATGTACATTAATGTTTAGATAAAATTTATTCAGTATTATTATTGTTTAGGTAATAAGCATTATAACATTGCACAAATAGCTATAGTGTGGAAAAAGGAATTTTCAACAATATACGCATTTTTTACGTACTCATGGTTATTTTTTTAACTTTTATCAAAAACGACATTCTTGTACATGTTATGAATAATATTATACATTAATTACTAAATTTTTTTAATTAATAACTATGTGTGCTCAGTTGTTGACATTAATAGCGATCTGCTGATGTTTTAAAATTTGGGAATAATGCAATAATAAAAATTTAAATTTCATCTCTCTGATAGATATCACAATCTGTTAATAATGTCTATTCTACAGTTTTTATCTAAGAAAAAAAAGAAAAGAAAAAAAAATGGAAATTCTTATTTTGACATGTTTTGCTGAACTCAGAATGTTATCAAAAATGGATTTATTTCAACCAAATCCACATTGCTAAAACAGAATGTGATCTATATGAATGCTGGAATATTTTTTTTTTTACACTTTAATTCTATTGATTTTTTTTTTTTGTGCTTCATTTTTTATTATATATTCATTTGTTTTAAGATTTTTTCATATCCTACAGTACTGAAACAATATGGGATATGAAAAAAAATCTATCATTGAAGATGTGAGTCATATTCTGTTTCACCAAAGTAGATTTTAAATTTACTAAAAGCTACAGACAGGAAATTGTCAGGAGCTTGATCATCCACGTCCTGAAGAGAACACATAGAAGAAGAATGTACATTTGGCTAAAATAAAATCCATTTTTCTGATGATGTTGTTTGATCTTTGAAACATGTCAAAATAAAAAGTTTTTCAAATTGTCTTGTCTATATTTCTGAGATGAGGTATTGTAATTATTTACATTATTTACATTGTTCGGACTGTTGTCCTCTTGCCATATTCACAACATTTCAGCCATTGTACACTCTGGCCTTCTTCAGGTAAGTCCCCTCTTCCATAGAGGATAGAGGAGAACATGACTAAGGACTGTGTGTATGTTATCCTGTGCAGCTGTGGTAAGAAATATAAAGGAGAAACAGGTTGCCTCCCCTTAAGGTAAAACTGCAAGAACATCATAAAGCCTTAACACAAGGGGAAATAGAAAAATCAGGCATAGCTGACCACATATAAAGAGAAAAGGGAGATTACTGCCCCATGTGGGATGAGGCTGAAATAGACAGAGAACATCACTGGAAAATATGAAAACTTAAGGAATTAGCATATATGCTATGCCACAAAAATCTCCTAAGCCGGCCAAGCAAAGAAACGAGTATAC